GGCCATACTTCCCATGGGCTTCTCCCAGCCAATAACTGAGGGTTAAATCCCAGATTAATCCAGCTGGAGAAATGCTGGGCCAGATGAGGGAAGAAAGACTATACACTGACATAGCAAAGGAATTAGCTAGCATGGACTCAGTCAGCTGAGGCAGTATCCCTGAGATAGGATTAGAGTGGTTGACCAAGAGGGCTAGAATATGAGACTGGATAAGCAAAAAATCATCAACTTCAGGTACTTTCTCAGGACATAAAACCTAATAATCTGGCAAGGACCCTAGAAGATAGGGCACACTACTGCTAGGGTGACTCTTAGAAACCTGGAACAAGTAACATCAAACAGTAAGTGAAGCAGAAAAGCTGAGCTTGTAGAAGTGGGCAGGCTGGAATGAATTTGAGTCAGAAAACCCACCAGAGGATTATGTTCCATGGGAGGGCTTAGAAAATGCACTCTAACAGCATCAGGCGCGTGCTGGTAAGAAAAGTACTAGCATCACTAAGTTCTTGATGATGTCCTCTGCAGGCCATGGTTGACTAGATTAGGTAATCACAGATCTGTGCTTGTTAAATCCATGGAATGATTTGCCAGCCAACTGCCCCCGACCCAAGTAATAAAAGCCAGGCAGACTTGTTTAACCATAGAAGCTAAGAGGCCTCATACAATAACAAGTAAAATTGCAGAAGGAGCCAAGGGGAATCGTGGAGATGGTTAACAGAACACAGCATATTTAGGAGCAAAACAGATGGGTAGCTAACAAGGATACTGCTTAATGTCTACAACCAAAAAAGGTTAAGAATGGGGGAGCAGAGGCTGCAAATGGTCATGGCAACAGAAGTCATAATCCTTGCGTAGTTCCTAAGCCTGAGTCAACATCTTCCCAACATAGGTCTTATTTTCCAAAGATCTTTTAGTTCTCCTTTGTAATTAGTTTAAATTCTCCTTAATTCCGCTTAGCTTTGAACTTCAAAGGATGGAGATCTTTACCTACGTAAAGGATGCTGGGCTGTGCCTCAGAGAGCTCCTCCCAGGCCTGGGGCTCCCTAGGAATGGGCAGAACCCCAGGGAAACAATCCACATGGTGAGAGTCCAGGTATAAGCAAGAGCAGAGGAGCAACCACTCATCACAGCCCTTTAGCTTAGACCACCTATGTAGGACCCACCTACCCAGTCCTGGGGCCATCCTCCACTGGAGTGTCCAGGGCTGGGCTAGGGGCAGCCTGCCCATAGAAGGCCCTGGGTCAGGCCTAAAGCAGGAGGACAGCTAGGAGCACCAGGGCAAGGGCCCTGTCTCCCCATTGGCCATGCAGGGTGGCAGAGAAGAACATTAACTACCTACTGGGGCTGGGCCAGGGGCAGCGATAATCTGGGAAGAGAGGGGCAAGGCAGTCAGTGAGGCAGGGACTTGGAGGAAGGACCTACAGCAGCCCCTCCAAAGAAGGGGGGCCTTGTCCACAAATCATTGTGAGAAGGTCACTCCTTGTGCAGGCACCACACCAGCATCTGGTCCACCCGTCATGCCCAACATACAGAAGCCTCTCCATTCCAGTTTCTCTAGGACTGTGTGAGGAAGGTCGTTGACACAGTACTCACAAAATTTGTTTCCCAAGAAGCTTTGCTTTGAGGCTCCTAGATGCTGCCTCAGCTCCGTAACCCACTGCTCATCACCTGCTGTGGCGGGGCTCATCGCCCACTATGATGGGGCCCACCTCGATGAGGCTCTGGGAGCTGACGAGCACGGAGGGCACAGTGCACGTATCCCCGCCAGGCTTCCACCCCACGGCCCTGGGCTTGGCGCTCATGCCAGCCCACACCGGGACTGTGACCCGCCCAAACATACATTTAAATAGTTTGATATCTGAGACTATTACTGAACATTTAGCAATGTGACATTTACCCTTAGATGTTTACTATCATGGAGCTTTGAATTTCTAAATGTATTAAAAAAAATTTTTTTTTGAGACAGTCTCACTCTGTCACTCCAGCTAGAGTGCAGTGTCATGATCATAGCTCACTGCAACCTCAAACTCCTGGGCTCAAGTGATCCTCCTGCCTCAGCCTCCAGAGTAGCTGGGACTACAGGCCTGTGCCACCACACGCAGCTAATTTGTTCTAAATTTAGTAGAGATAGGGGTCTCACTCTTCATCAGGCTGGTCTCGAACTTTTTTTTTTTTTTTTGAGACAGAGTCTCACTCTGTCACCCAGGCTAGAGTGCCGTGGTGTCAGCCTAGCTCACAGCAACCTCAAACTCCTGGGCTCAAGCAATCCTTCTGCCTTAGCCTCCCAAGTAGCTGGGACTACAGGCATGCACCACCATGCCCAGCTAATATTTTTATTTGGCCAATTAATTTATTTCTATTTTTAGTAGAGACAGGGTCTCGCTCTTGCTCAAGCTGGTCTTGAACTCCTGACCTTGAGTGATCCTCCCGCCTCGGCCTCCCAAAGTGCTAGGATTACAGGTGTGAGCCCCTGCACCTAGCCTAAATGCATTAAATATTAAATGTACTTAAATATGTACAAATACAGATTTGTATGTATCACTACAAACCTGATAAATACAAATATGTATGCTTTTCTCTCATTTATTTGGGAAAGTTCAAAAAGGGTAGTCACATTCAAAGCTATTTAAGTATATTGCTAGAATTTAAGGAGAATAAATTGTGTTGGTATACAAATACAGAAAAAATTTGCAGAGCTTAACTTAACAGCTCAGTGATCCCCATTGGTCCATAACTGTTCTAAATATCTGTAATTTTCACAGGTTGCATTAATGTGCCAAAGAAAAGGATAAAATAAAGTGAAACTTTGGGACCTAAGCATCCACTGTGGCTAAGTGCCCGAACCAGTGGGTTATTTCAGTCAAGAGCCACCTGCAGTGCCCACCAAGTAACAGTTGATTCCTCACAGTTATTAAATTTAATCCGCACAAAACACTTGATATTATTACACTTCTTTTGCAGATGTGGAACTAGGCTTTGAAGGATTAAGCAGCTCATCAAGAGATAGCAATAAGTGTTAGCTGTTGGGTTTGAACCCAGATCTTCTAATACTACATGCAGTATTTCTTCTACTTTGGCATAGAAACCTATAGATCAAGAGTTGGCAAACTTTTCCTGTAAAGGGCCAGAGAGTACATATTTTAAAGCTTTGTAAGCTTTATGGTCTCTGTCGCAACTATTCACCTCTGCCCTTGTAGTGAGAAAACAGCCAGAGATAATACATAAATAAGAGTTTAATTGTGTTCCAATAAAGCTTCATTTCCAAACACAGGTGGTGGGCTTAATTTGGCCAGGGGCCATGATTTGCTGACCTTTGATATAGCTAAAACATACAAACAAATCACAAAGTGACTACGCTCTAAAGACTCTCCTTTTCTGACCTTCATTACTGCTCTGCTCACTCTACTGAACATGCAATAATTATGATTTCACTGTAAATTCATCTTCCAGTTCCTATCTATTCCTCAGTGCCAGCCTGCCTCTCCCTACCACCAATTCTAGTGTTGTGGTTAAACACTTTAAGGCAGTGATCAGTAACTTTTTTAACATCAGTACCAATTCAGAAAAAATAAGCTCTTCTCCCTACACTTGGTGAAAACAGCTTTATTCAATCTCAAAGTGTAAAAACAATGTATTCTTACAACTTTAGATTCCTTTAACAAATATTTTCAGAGTCATCTTTCTAATTTCCATTCCTAAATTTTATACAGTGCTTTAGGATTCAAAACATGTCTTCTAGAGGCCAGGCACAGTAGCTCATGCCTATAATCCCAGCACTTTCAGAGGCCAGGGTGGGAGGATGGCTTGAGGCCAGGATTCCAACCTTGACAACATAGTGAGACCTCATCTCTACAGAAAATTTAAAAAGAAATTAGCCAGGTGTGGTGGCACATGCCCATAGTCCCAACTATGTGGATGGCTAATACAGAAGGATTGCTTGAGCCCAAGAGTTTGAGGCTGCACTGAGCTATGATCATGCCACTGCTTTCCAGCCTGGGCAACAGAGCAAGACCCTGTCTCTAAAAACAAAAACAAACCAATAACATGTCTTCTAGTATATTATCTCATTTATCTTTGAAGCAAACTTTTAAATAGGGAGGATTATAGAGAAACCTATATTCAACAAAGGTTAAGTGACTCGCTCAAAGTCACAATTCCTTCTCTTCAACTTAACATTCAACAAGCAAGTACTGTGCTAGGTGCAGGTAATAAGATAATTAAAATCCCAATCCCTTGCCTTTCTCCCTTATCCTCTTTGTTAATCCCTGGCCTCCACTAAAACCTATGAGCCTAGATAAGCAATTCTGAAAAGATGCTTCTCCTAGTGGTGGTCCAGGTAGCTTTTTCCCCTTAAGGTCTCTGTTTTGTTAAAATGAAAGCTACATTTGAAATTAGATTAGAGACCTTTCTGAAAAGCCAAATAGGGAATGAAGCTCTCTTCTCTTGGGCTGCTCATCCACTGCTTTATGGAATTCTCTCCATGGACTCATCTACATCATTATAAATCATTTCTAAAAATTATTAGATTGTCTGGTCAATATAAAGTTAGTTCTGGTTATTACATTCTGTTTACTACTTGTTCTGAAAGTTACTTTTATTTCCTCAAATAAATATAAATTCCTTACAGTCTTTCTATCCCCTTTGAAATGACATTATCTACTATATTCCTTTCATCCTTTTCATCCCTTTCTGCATATGGTCAGTCCTTGTGTCTACTGGCCTTTCTTCAACTAATTTTAAAGAAAGGATACTTTCTAACATGGGGTCTTTATCTGATCAATTGTGTTACTTGTTCATAGTTATTTCTTCAAGATCTGATCTTAATTCTTTCAGATCCTACTGGTTGGCTAATATGCACAGGGGTACAGCTGTCCTAATGTCTTCACTGAGCACATTTAGTAATTTTAGGGTATTTTTAGTTTCAGGGAAGGATCATTTTTAATTACAAAGAGTAGCTGTCACATAGATAGTCTTCTGAAAGAAACTTTCTTCGCCCTACTTACCTCTGCAATCAGATCATGTAGCTCTCCTTCACTGGGACAGCATCCTAATGACCTCATAATTGTTCCAATCTCTCTGGGAAAAAAACGTTGTCAATAGTTTTAGAATATAAACTCTGAAAAGGTAAGTGCTATATTTCTCTAAATTATTTCAGAGCATATGTATTATAACATAGCAACCAAATCACTCAGATATTGCCTCATGATTATAAAAGATTTCTGGGAAAAGAAAAAAGCAGGCAAGTGAACCAAAGACAGATGAAAGAAATGTTTTCAATGACTGGCAAATGCAAGCCCTGCCTGGGCCAAAATCAAAAAGTTTTAGAAAAGGAATAGAAAGGAGAGGTGGGGAGTAAAAAAAGAAATGTCAGCCACTGACCAGCTGATTTTAAATGTTGCTTAACTCTTTTGAACCTCAGATTTCACATCTGTAAAATGGGCATGATTGATGTCTACTCAGGGTTTTTTTTTTGTTTGTTTGTTTTGTTTTTCTCTTTTTTTTTTTCTCCTCACTTCCAATGGAAATACTCAGGGGTTTTGAGGTGAAGTTTACATTAGTATCACGGTGCTTTAAAAGCATGGCCTCTAATGCCAAACTGGTAGGGTTCAAATCCCAGCTCTGTGACTAGCTACATTGGGCAGGTTAACCTACCTAATTCTGTGTACATAAGACTACCTGGTAGGAAACACTTACAACTGGACTGGGGGACACACTAAGAGTCAAATAAGAAGAGCTATAGTAATGTAAAGCATAATTCTTGGCAGAGTAGCCACTCAATAAATATTAGTTATTCAACTCGCCCTGCTCCCTAATAATGTAGTTCACTCCAACAAATAACCTAAAAGTATACATTCTATTCAATACACCCTGGATACTAAGACCAGGGATTTATAATAGATTATTAAATATTTCCATTCAAAATTATTAAAATTAAAGTTGTAATATTTGCATGTTAATTTAATTTCACAAAAATTCACTTAAGTAGAATATTTAATTATTTACCATTCTGGATAAGTTTACTAGAATTATGTTTATTCCCTATGAAAGCATTTTAAATAAGAATTTTTAAATTCTTCACTTAAAGAGGTTGCAGGATGAGTATCGACTTAAAAGAAAAGCCTAAAGTTAAGAACTGTGGAAAACAGGATTCTTACTTCTCATTTATTGATTTTCCTTCATCATAAATGAAGGTACAAAAAATATGTAATGTCTTCATGTCACCCATATTTCATACCTCCCTGAGTAGCTTAGACTTGACATTGTTTTTCATGACCATATCTCTTATTTAGGCAAGATCTGAACATGATAGTGTTACTATTAATAGAAACTAAAAACATTTTATAAGATTTTTTTACTTTCTCTCAAAAAGTCCCTAGAGGTATCCCATGAAATCGAATAACACCAATGTAGTAAATTCGTTATTATAACACCAGACTGGCTATTGTATACACTGGAAGAAATAATTAATGAGGCATGGACAAAAAGTATGATTTGATAAGTATTCATGGATTTATATCCTCCACAACATTCTAAGCCTTTTGGTATTCAAATCAGAAAACTGCTTAAACTCCAGAATCAAAGAAACAGGGATAAAAGTTGTGTTAACATAACAAAAGGGAGAGCAGGAAAGGGAAGAAGGGAAGGAGGTATTTGCAAGCAAGAATTTTGAAGGAGAGTAGGACAAATATTGCATTCCTATGTGGGAGCTAAGAAGGGAGCTCTCCTGGAGGTAGGGTAGATGGTGGCTACCAGAGGCTGGGAGGGAAGGAGGGGAGATGAAGAGAAGCTGGTCAATGAGTGTAAAATGCAGTCAGATAAAAGGAGCAGGTTCTCTTCAACAGTACCGTAGGGAAAGTATGGCTAACAATAATTTATGGTGTGCTTCAAAATAGCTAGAAGAGAAGAACTGTTATATTTTCAACACAAAGAAAAGATAAATGTCTGGGGTGACGGATACCCCAATTACCCTGACTTGATCTTTATATGTTGTATACCTGTATCAAAATAGCACATGTACTCCAAAAATATGTACAACTATGATATGGCAATAAAAAATATATTTAAAAAAGAATTTTGAAGGATGTGAGATGGGGAAAAGAGCAATTCTAGACCTGTGCTATCTAGTACAGTAACTATAAACTAACCATATCTGGCTATTAAGCATCTGAAATGGGATTAGTCTGAATCGAAGTGTGCAGTAAGTGTAAAAATACTCACTGATTCCAAAAACTTAATATGGAAAAAATGTAAATAGCTCATTAATAATTTAGAATATTGATTATATGTTGAAAGGATAATATTTTAGACATATTGGGTTAAATAATACATATTGTTAAAATTAATTTTACCTGGGTTGAATTAAGTTTAGCTTAAAGCTGCCTCCTTATATATTTTAAGTTCCACCTAAGGTTCTCCCTATGTACTGAATTGTAACTTGACTGTTACAATGGATTGTAACTGTGTAAACAGACTGTAACCTAGGCTTGTACCAATCGCAGTTTCAGCCAATCATAGGCGGCCAACTGTTCAAACTGTATTCAAATAAGGCAAATGCCAAGCTGTAATGAATCTAGCTGTTTCTGTACCTCATTTATGTTCTCTGTATATCACTTTCCTTTTTCCGTAAATATCTGACCATGTGGCAGCTTTGGAGTCACTCTGAACTTGTTGTGGTTCAGGGGCCTGCCCCATTCTCAAATCTTTTTTTTTTTTTTTTTTTTGAGACAGAGTCCCACCTTGTTGCCCAGGCTAGAGTGAGTGCCATGGCGTCAGCCTAGCTCACAGCAACCTCAAACTCCTGGGCTCGAGCAATCCTTCTGCCTCAGCCTCCCAAGTAGCTGGGACTACAGGCATGTGCCACCATGCCAGGCTAATTTTTTGTTCTATGTATTTTTAGTTGGCCAATTAATTTCTTTCTGTTTTTAGTAGAGATGGGGTCTTGCTCTTTGCTCAGGCTGGTTTTGAACTCCTGACCTTGAGTGATCCACCGGCCTTGGCCTCCCAGAGTGCTAGGATTATAGGCGTGAGCCACCGTGCCCAGCCTCAGATCATTTTTTGCTTAATTAAATTCTGTTAAATTTAATTTATCTAAAGTTTTTCTTTTAAAACCTATTCATAGGAAATAGATACCATCATGAGTCAGATTCTGAGAAGAGAGGCAGATAAAGAGAAAATTAGAATGACATGGTGCTCTGTCAGCAATATTAACTGCCTTGTGCCTCTCCAAGAAACCTGAAACAATATTTAAATTGTTTTTTAATGTTTTGGGGATATTGGATTATAGTTTTTCTCTAATGTTAATACTGGACCCAAGATAGCCATTTTGTATTTGGGTTATTTAAGTGCTGTATATGAGATTATAATACAAATTTCCATGCCTGATATTTGCTTAATACTTTATTTGCATAATATTTGGAAAGTACTTTCACATATGCCATCTTACTTTTCACAGCAGCCCTGTCCTAGTTACCTACATATTATTATTCCAATTCACAGGTAAATACACTGAAACTTAGAGAGGATAAATGACTTGCCCACAGTTGCACAGCTAGTAAGTGGAAGCACTAAAGTTAAAATGATGCCAGATCCCATTCATTCAACAAAACAAATATGAGTGCCTACTATGTGCCATAGAGCATGCTAGGTGCTAAGGATATAGTAATGAATAAGCTAAAAATTATCCTTGCACTCATGGAATTTATGATCTAAGAGAGAATGATGAACAAACGATTATAATAAAGGAGATAAATTGCAGGGGAGGTGGGCAGAGGATGGTAAAGGATGTCATGGGCACATGAAGAAGAGGCACTAAACTAGACTGGGATTATGGGGCCAGGGAAAGCTTCCATCGCAATTAACTTTTAAACTACTTAAAGCTTAAATAGACAAATGTTTCAAGCAGAGGAATAGCATATACAAAGGCCCTGCCGGTGAGTGGGATCATGAGACAGTAGGGGAATGGGATTTGATTGGACTCAGAAAGTAAAGAATGTAACTAATCTGTTACCTCAAATCTAATCGTGTAGTTCTTATCTGCATCCCTAGTGTGTGCTCTGGAAACAGGATAACGAAGAAACTTGCATATGAAGACTTCGCTTTCCTCTGTGTAGTACAAGGCAAGGTGCTCTGCTAACAGTGAATGGGAAAGGAGAAAAGAGAAGTCTTAGCTGTCTCCGGGCTCTCGCCACCGCTTACCATCGCCAGGGCTTGCCTCTCCAGGCACATATATGTCAAGATGGCAAGCCCCATCCTTGCTCTCACATTCTAAAACCTGCCCTTCCTCATGTGCCGGGTATTTTCTGTGCCCTCCGTTCCTCTCCATCTTGCAGTTTCCCCAAGGGACGAACCCCTACTGTTGCATCAGGCTCCCTTGCCTCAGGCTCCCTGCTGCACTTAACGCAAACATAGCTTTGCAGTCTTCCATTGCTGCATAACAAGCTGTCCAAAACCAAGTGGCCTATTCAACAATGATGTATTGTTTTTCATGATTCTGTGGGTTGACTGAGAGGTTCCTCATTGGTTTTGCCTAGGCTCACTCATGGAGTTATGTTTAGCAGTTAATTACCCTTATACAGTTGCTCAGTACTCTATAGTCAGCCCTTTAAAACTGCCATTATCACCATCCTGAACTCTGGGTCCCTTCACCTTCCATCCTGCCTGCTCTGTTAATCTATAACCCTGAACATCTTTAATTTTCATTTCCTTTCTTCCTTAAAGCACCGCTCTGGAAGAAAACAGTTAACAGAAAAAAACATGACCTACTACAAATTCATGCAATCCAATATCAAATATATCCTGGATGCAGCGTAACAATCCTTTCACTCATCTCCTGCTAATGATTGCCTAGCAGACTCCCCCCACAACAGCCATTCTGGATCATGTCTTGTCACAAGCTCCAAAACACTGACTCACTTCATCCCAGCAGAGTCCTTATCACCTACTTCAGATGCAAACTGCCTATCAGTGGGCACGATGATTAATCGTCATATCACCTTTATAGTCACTGACTTTGTACCACTTTAGAGTTATGTGCTCCCAGCCTTGGAGGAATAAAACGTGCTCTTCCTAAATCAAGCAAGCCCCTTAGATTTCCTTGGTTCCAGTCCTGGCTCTTGTTCTTAACATGCTTGCTTTTCCCTCTCAGCATCTTCATTCTTTTCTTTAGTAGCTGCTTTTGCCTTAAAATTTTTAGATATCTTCCTTATGTTGAGAAAAAAAAAATTGTTAGGTGCTTCACCACCCCCAACCATTCTATTCCCCTGCTTCCTTTCACTAATCACAATACCTTTCTTCCAAATTACTTGTATTGTAACTGGATAAGTTACAAGATACGGAAAATTCCATTTTCCACTCATCCACCATAGGCCTAACCCCTTTGCAGAATCCTGCCGTCACTAACTCTCCACTAGTCAACGAATCAGTCCATGTCTCCCTCTCAACCCCTCCTTTCCTTCCTCATCTCCATCTCCCTCTCTTCCTCCTATAACCCCCTCACTGCCCCCTACTCCATACCCCTGCTTGCAAGATGATCTCTATGGTTTAAAATATTACAGAAGGCTAGGGAATAAGCAGACAAAAAGAATATCAGTGGTCACCCTAATAAGAGTACTTGCAGAGGAGAGGAGAGGAAAAACCCCAAAGTTCCAGTGGTAAGAAAATTTAAATCACAAGTATAGAATACACCATTTAGGAATATGGCTTATAAAAAGTATACACATCATAGCCAAGAGCTAATAGTTACATAGCACTTACTACATGCTAGGCACCATTCTAGCACAGTACATATATTAACTCATTGAATCCTCACAACAACCGATGAGGCAGTATTACTATTATCCCCATTTTACAGATGAGAAAACTAAAGCCCAAAGATGTTAAATAACTTGCCCAGGATCCCATGTAGTCAATATATTTTAAAAGATGACTTCCTCAGGACTAGGGAAATCTAAAGTAAGAGCTGGGAAGAAGTCTGACAAGAGGAATGAATAGGAAATGAGGATGAGTGGCTGGACGTAGTGGCTCACACCTATAATCCCTGTGCTTTGGGAGGCCAAGGCAGGAGGATCACTTGAGGCCAGCCTGGGCAACAGAGAGAGAAAAAAAAATTAGCCAGACGTGGTGGTATGCACCCATAGTCCCAGATGGTTGGGAGGCTGAGGCAGGAGGAAGGCTTGAGCCTAGGCTACAGTGAGCTATGATCTTACCACCACAGTCTAGCCGGGGGAACAGAGCGAAACACTGCCTAAGAAAAAGAAAATGGAGATGAGAACAGAAACAAAGTTGCTCACAATGTGAGGAAAGTAGATTAATCAGCTCTCTGCCTTGGGAAAGGACATCTCCTCTAAGGCTTCTAAGAATAAATAGTCCTCACATGTCTCATATCCCTTATAACATTATCATGATCTGTGTGGATGTGAAAAAAACATCTTCTGGCTATCAGGTTAGTATTAGTAGAATATAGTTCTGTAATGTTTTATTATGTGCACCAGGCTTATTTTAAAGTGCTTTAAATATTCTTATTCACTTATTCCTCACAAAAGCTCTGTGTGATAGGTACTATTATTTTACAGATGAGAAAAACTAAACCACAGAGGCTGCTCACGCCTGTAATCCTAGCACTCTGGGAGGCCGAGGCGGGCGGATTGCTCGAGGTCAGGAGTTGGAAAAGAGCCTGAGCAAGAGCGAGACCCCGTCTCTACTATAAATAGAAAAAAAATTAATTGGCCAACTAATATATATAGAAAAAATTAGCCGGGCATGGTGGCGCATGCCTGTAGTCCCAGCTACTCGGGAGGCTGAGGCAGGAGGATCGCTTGAGCCCAGGAGTTTGAGGTTGCTGTGAGCGAGGCTGATGCCATAGCACTCACTCTAGCCTGGGCAACAAAGTGAGACTCTGTCTCAAAAAAACCTAAACCACATAAATGTTAAGAAGTTTTTCCAAAACCATAACACTAATAAATAGCAGAAATGGGATTCAAACACACACATTCTAGAATCCATGCTACTAACCACTGCAACTGTTGAGTGTCACAAATCTCAATCGGGCACTTACTTAGACTTAAAGGAGAACTTCTTGACTGTAACAAGGTGCCTCCAAAGAAAGCTGTGGATATTCCACACCATGGGAGCTTTGAAGACAGACTCAGGAGTCACAAACTGATTACTCAACGGGCAAATATGGCCCCCAGATAATGTTTTGTTTAATCTAGGGCATACATACAGGCATGAGTACTGTCCTGTACTCTCTCTGATTCACACATTTATATTACAGGCTAGTCCCCATAAGAATTTGTGTTTATCACTCCTGTAAAATACGAGTTTTGTGCCACTTAGGAATTTACCTGCAAGAAGAAGGGGAATGAGCCAAATGACATCTTAACCCAAGTGTTCTGACTCTTTAAGATTATTTTTAAGAACACACATAGACACTAAACCTGTGGCTTATATAAAAGAATGTTCTTATTTTTAGAAGATCCACACTGTGCCAGGCACAGTGGTGTGCATCTGTAGTCCCAGCTAATGGGGAAGTGGAGATGAGAGGATCACTGGGGCCCAGGAGTTTGAGTCCAGACTGGGCAACATGGTAAGACCCTGTCTCTAAAAAAAAAGAAAGAAGATCCACACTAGAGCATTTGAGTAAAAGGTTACAATGTTTATAAGCTTACTATCAAATAGTCCAGCAAAATGGAGATGATGATGATAATAATAATAAAATATATAAATATGTATGTGTGTGCATTATATATATGGAGAGACAGAGAGAGAGAAAAAGGGAAGGAGGGAGAGAGAGAGAGAGAGAGAGAGAGCAAGCAAAAGCCAAATAGCAAATTATTAATAATTGGTGAATCTAGGTAAAAGCAGACAGGAGTTCAGTATACCACTCTTACAATTTATAAGTTTGAAATTTTATTTATTTATTTATTTATTTATTTATTTTTTTGAGACAGAGTCTCACTTTGTTGCCTAGGCTAGAGTGAGTGCCGTGGCATCAGCCTAGCTCACAGCAACCTCAAACTCCTGGGCTCAAGCAATCCACCTGCCTCAGCCTCCCAGAGTGCTAGGATTACAGGCATGACCCACCGCGCCTGGCCAAAAGTTTTCTAAAGTTTAATAATTGCTTATTTTTGTCAAGTTTTTGGGATAGAGAGAAAAGACATAAATTCATTTGCATACAGTAACGTGCTGGTTATCAAGTGGCTTCTCAAAGGGGAAAAAGCTCTGATTTGTAGTATTTGTTGATTTCCACTGTGTAAGTACATCCCCGATGGCCAATTTCAAGCCACCAACTACCAGTTAAGGTCAGTAAAGGTGGAGTCTGGAAGAGATGCACGACAGATGACATCATCGGGTATATCTGCCAACATACACTAGACATAAATAACCTCAAGAGTATAAATAAGAGTAAAATGTAATAAAGTAATTAGGAAATGATAAATTTTGAATATTTTTTACCTTTTTTTCACTGTTAATAAAAACATTTATTTTACATTTCATACAGAATAACCTGAAAAAAATATGGAATGGTCCACAAGTTTATGTGTCAACCTTGTGCAGGGGCCATGATAATTTTCTCTATGTTGCTCTGGTTTCAGTATAAGTGCTGCTGAAGAAAGCACCTTTGTTTTTTATAAAATTCAATTCAGTTTATATGATTTATTTCTTAATATAAACTAGGTTTTAACAATGGCTGTAGAATTCCTGGAAATTTAACAATCAGCTCTTGTGAGCTAGTACAAGTCAGCACAAGCTGGCTATAGCACACCACTGATATTGTGAGTCACAATCACTCCATTCAGACAGTTAAAGTAGCCTCTCCCAGGTTGAATCTATACAGGTTCATCTCTTCAACAACCAGAGTGGTTAGGACCAACTCACTTAGTATTCTACCATGCATACAAAACAGAAATTGAATATAACTTTTGTAAAAAAAAAAAAAAAAAAACAATAATAACAAACTTTTTTTCTTTTGGAAAATTATTTTCTTCCTTTTAAATCAATTTAATGAAATTTTTTAAAAATTGCCAACTCCTCAATTTTGGTAGGGTTTTCAGAGAAAATGAAAATCAACTGTTTCATATAAAATCTTTAAAATATGCAGAGACATTTCATTTATTTTGTCAAAGTAGATG